CAGTTTCTACTGCAGAGATTCTCTGGAACTTTGAATCCATTCTGCTGGGCTTCTATTGCCCTTGGGGGGTTTTGCTGGTTTTTTCCCCTCTATTGGAAACAATGGGGTGCTATAGCTTGGACCCTGTTAATCCAATCATTGAACCGCTGCTGCTGGACAGCCTCCACCTTCAGATGGATAAAGGGAAGGTGTTTTTGTTGTTGTTGTAGGAACTATTCTGTCAGTAGCCTTTGATATGCTGATCAGTTAATATGCTGATGACACTCTGCTGTATATTCCTCGGAATAAGCCTCTGGCTGCAGCCGTCTCTGTGCTGGCCAGATGTGGTGGTCCAGTGGCTGAGAGAGAACAGTCTGATGCTGAATCCAGGTAAGAGAGCTGATGCTGGTTGGAAGGGCAGCTGCTCACCATGCGATTGTTCTCCTTACCATCAATAGAGTGCAGCTTTAGCTGAGTGACTGTTAAGAGCTTGGGAGTCCTGTTGGATCAGATCACCATGACAGTGAAAAATGTTTCCTTTCAGCTTTATTTAATTAGCAAGCTGCTCCCTCTTGGCTGATGCCTAGTTTGGCCACACTGACTGATTATTCAATATCTTTCAGGCTAGATTACCCTAACACAGTCTACATGGGCCTGGCCTTGAAGACAACCCAGAAACTTCAGTTGGGGCAAAATGCAGCAACTCATCTGTTATCAGGAGCTAACTGACAGGACCCAATTATGCCTGTTTTACTGTCCCTTTGCTGACTGCCTATTTGTTTCAAGGTCCAATCCAAGATGCTGATATTCAGCATGAAAGCCCTTCACGAACTATAAACAGAACTATCCCACAGAGCATTTGGAATGGTTTGGGCCTTGTCTCCTGACTATATGAGCACAGGGTGTTTTTAACGCTGCGGTTGTTGATGTTGTTTTAAATGGTTTTTTAAAATTTTTGATGTTTTTAATTGTATAATTTTATATGGTTTTATTGTATTTTATTTTACTGTTACCTGCCTTGGGTTCCAACTTGGTCAGGGGAAAGGTAGGCATATAAAGACATGAATAAACAAATCATCCTTGGTTGATCACTTGGAAGTTATGTGGTGCACCAAAGGTGACTAGGAAAGGGGCAGAGCACACTGGCAGGCTGAGCCAGGGCCAGCCTCCAAGGTGAAGCCCCCTTCATAATTTTCATATTTTAATATAAAAGCACAGTGCACTCCTAAGAACATTTTAAAGGAACTAAGCCCTACTGATGACAGCTGGACTTACTTCTTTGATTTACGTTATTTATAGTCCGGCTTTCTCACTTGCACTCAAGGCGGATTATGCAGAGTGGATAAAGGGGCGGGACAATGGGGCGGGAACAATGCAATAGGAATCAGAGCTGTAGAACCAACCAGAAACCTAAAAACAGACCAGAACCAAATCATAAGTATTAATATGACATATTAAATGAGGCAAAAAATTACACGGTGGCAGTGTTCCCTCTAAGCTGAGTTAGTGTGAGCTAGCTCACAGCTTTTTTAGCCTCCGGCTCACAGATTTTTATCTCAGCTCAGGGAGGATGGCTCCAGAGCAAACTAAATTTATGCAGCGGACAAATCGCTTGCTCACAACTTTAATGCCAGTGGCTCACAAAGTGGGATTTTTGCTCACAAGACTCCACAGCTTAGAGGCAACATTGCACGGTAGGATCCTAATTTTAGCAAGCTATACATAGTAGTATAGACCACAGTCCCTAATGATTTTTTCCAAGTAACTTTGTGAACTGTTTTGTACAGCGCGACCCCATTGCCTGCGTAGAAAAGCCCTCTTGAACAACTCATTTCTGCACAGTTTGCAGAAGCCAGAAAGTGGGAGCCTTCCTCAACTTCTTCCTGACTTCTGAGCAGAACTACTTAGGATTATTCTTTACATTCTAGAAAGAAAGAAAAATCACAGGTGTACATCCAGAGCTCAACTGTCTCTCATTTTCTAATTCTAAATCTTGTTTTCTCATTTGTTTTCCTGATTTTAGACTCTGGTGACTTGTCCTTCTTAAATACTCGAGGCCAGAATTGTTCGAAGCAGACCAGCAAAGCAGGCTTTCATCCACAGAACTCCTGGCAAGTGCGACAGATCTGGTGTTGCCACTGGAAACGGGGACTGCATCCTGCCAGGCCCTGACAGCTCAGTACCGGGAATCCCAGCTACACTGTCCATCTGTCCAGAGGAGGAAGCTCTTTAGGTGACACACCTTCTGGTGGAGGGTTCTAATCCTGCCCCATTGGAGCCATTAAAATCTTGCCATCACTCAGTGCTCCTGAAGTAAGCAGCAGGCCACTTAATTAGCTAAACGGTCATGGCCAGGCTCTGGTAGTTTGCACACCATCTTTTTTTTAGACACTATTTGTAAATGAAGGTCTAAAACACAGGACTAAAGCCTCAAATGCATTATCCATAAAAACTGGCACCAATCTATATAAGCATAAGCGATTTCACACTGAAACTGAGTAAAAACGACAAGCCTGTCCAGGTACTGATGTGTAAATTGTCTGTGTATTTATTCCCTACAGTAGGCCATTCCCAGCTGCCGTGGGTTTTGAACACAAAATTGCCACTGCCAGCCACTTCCGGCCAGAGCAAAACAGCTGCCAGAGAAGACGGGTGCCAAGACCCCGAACATCTGAGCCACAGGGCCAGCGCCAGCTGTTGCCAAGCCACCCGAAGGCAATCAAGGCCCAACAGAATGCCCGTTCAGCTTTCCCTGTAGCAGGCTAACATGGCTCCCTCTCTGAAAATATTCCACATCTGATCACCCACGAGCCCAAAGAACTGCGCAGCTAGCAAACTGTGTGAATCAGTGACACGTCGGCAGGCCACAACTGCAGTGCTGGTGTCAGCCTTCTTGCTATTCTCTTCAATAATAAAGTCTGAACAAGCCTCGCCTGTATCCTGGGAAAGTTTGTCTCTATAAGGTGAGATCCCCTCAGCTCGGTCGGCCACACCGGGGACCCTACATCATAAAGAACAGCCCCCCCCCTCCTTTCCAACATGCAGGAGCCCACATGATGTGCCGGGTCCTGTCTCCTCTCCTACTCTTCAACCAGCAAATCCACACAGAAGGTCTCCTCTCCACTGACCTGGAGAGTGACAGACTTGCACTTTATCCAAAATGACTGGTGTGACCTGGCAAACCTCCTCCTCACCTCTTCTTTAAAATACACATTAGCAGCCAACCAGGTCTTTAGACCTCACTGTAGCGGGGCTCCCCTTGATAGCTTCCACTACGGGTTTGCAAGAGGCACCAGGGAATAAAGCCTTAAAGTCCTGTATGGACATCCCCCTCCCCATCCCCCAATACTTCTTCCAGATGTATCATTGTCAGTCTTCTCCCCTTCACCAAATGTCTTCAAAATCTCAGATTCAGGATAACTACTGCGGACAGCGCTTTTGTCCTATTTATCTCAATAAGCATAATTGTATATATTTTTCATTTATTTTGTGATCAGAACTTGGACTGAGGGAGCATGGTTTCAGCCCAAGGCAAAGCACGCAACCCAGAGCCATTTAAGCCCACATCTGCAGGAACACACAAGACATCCAAAAGATACCCCCCGCACACCGCCTCACAGCTAGACACTGAAGCATCCACAGCTCCTCAAGGAAGCAAAGATGAAAGGGGTGTGGAAGAAAACTACCCTAAAAGCTAAAGGTGCGTTGAGCCCAGATGCTGGGTGTGATGGCTACAGCCATGGTCTGTTCCCAGAGGTAGACTGCCCCTGTATGTAGAGCTTCATTTTGTTATTATGGCTAATAAGATTTATTTAGCTAAAAAAAAAAATGTTTTGCTAGATCGCCCACTTCAGCACTCTGTGTGCAAGAGAGCCACACAGCATGCCAGATGCTTCCAGAAGGGCTATAAACAGCAGTCCTTGCATGGTACCTTGCCCATGGAGGTTCCATTCAGCCACCATCACTAATACTCCTTCACAGACTTATCTTCTATGCATTTGGCTAATCTCTCTTAAGAGGCCTGCTGGGCAAGATTAAAGTGGCTTCATCCATTCCACCGTCCAGTTTCCCAGGCAAAGATCCCTCAGAGAATCCCACAAGCAGACCCTCCCCAGTCTTTGGGATGGGGGTCCCATTCATTCATTCATTCATTAGCAGACCTCTCTCCCATCTCAGGGGCCATCCCCACTCCTCGAGGCTGCAAGGGGAGGCAGAGGAGGGGGCGCAGGTGACCCCCAACTCCCCCCTGGGTGCAGCCTCCTCTCACAAGGGGGCCGAATCCGCTCCTCCGGCCAGCGGGCGCCAGACGCCTCTGTGGCCACGGGGAGGGGAGGGCTCTTTAATATTAAACGGGTCCTTTGTGGTCAGGGCGGCTTGCGGGCCGGGGTGCCAGGTGTCAGCCGCGGCGGTGGAATTTCACCGGGGCTGAAGGCCTGCCAGCAAAGCAGGGCGGCCGAGCCGGGCCAGAACGAGCCTCCACCGCGTCGTCGTCGTCGTCCCCCCCGCCCCCGCCCATGCCAAACTGCACCCCAAGACAAACGCACCGGCGCAGGAGGGCTGCTTCGCCTGGCCGCTGCCCAGCTTGCCAAAAGGAGGAGGATCTTTGCTGCCTGAGGGCCCCCCCCCCCAGCATAAAAACCAGCACGGCGCCCGCAGAACATCCGGATCGTCCGCACGCACGCTCCATCCCTGGGAAAGAGCTGCCGGGGGGGGGGGGGGCCCGGGGGCGCCGCCGC